GCTGCTGCTGACGTCATTACGCTTTTGCGTGATACTGCGTTCACCAGCCGCTGCTGCTGACGTCATTACGCTTTTGCGTGATACTGCGTTCCCCAGCCGCTGCGGCTGACGTCATTACGCTTTTGCGTGATATTGCGTTCAGGAAAAGCATGTAAAACTCACAACTCTTAAGCCAAACCGGTCGCAATGATGCATTTAGGTACCGAAACCTGGTACCGTTTGAATAGATACTCGGCAGTACCGACAGCATTCGGTCTTCACATCAAAAAGTATCGAATTCGGTACCCATCCCTATTTAAGTTAAGTCAAAAGTTACACCTATGACTGATAATTTATGCAAATGATATGCATGACGTCATGAACGACAGACCCCATTTATGTTTGACATCACTATGATGACACAGTTCTTTGTTTGAATTCAGCTAGACCTTGTTCGCATTTCATCAATTTATTTAGTGCAGCAAGCAGCTGCAGGCTGACTGGATCTCTTGCTAATCGATGAGTTTTACAGAAAGAACTGCTGAATCAACAGCTTTGGACATATCAAAGGGTTTAAATGATCTGTGGGWGMATTCGCTATCAATTAAACRCAGAAATRATTGTTATGAMGAASWAAACGAAGMGATTTTAAAAACTYTCAAGGACCTGTATTTCAGAAATGAAAAACTCATTAAGGRAAGAAACAATGTAAGGTTTSAATTAACARAAGTGCAGAATGAGTTACAAAATKTTAAAGAGGGCTCGWTATTCCAAAGATTTAAATTTAGAAACTTACAAARGAAGAAAAGGAAGCTGCTYSAAGAGTTGACTACATTAAACGAGTCGATACATACGTTAGAAGAAGAACTTGAAGTGGAAAATGACGAACTGAAAGAAGAGGAAATAAGATTATTCAATGAGAGACAAGTGATTATTTTTAAAGACCTATATGATAATCTAGATGGTTACAGAGACATAGAATCAGAATATAAAGCATTTGTTAGTTCTGACATGTATCTAGATTTGAATGAAGAGAAAAAAAAGCTTTTAGAGGAAGATATGAAATTGGCCGAAAAAAGGCATTCTTATTTAAAGACTTTAAGAGACTTTCTTCATATGAATATTGAAACTACAGTTAGAGACCATTTAGCTGAAAGTTATAAATTGGAAGAATATTTTGATTATCATGACCTCCATCATGCACTGCATGATAAAAGGGACCTCGTTATTTCTCTTGAACGTGATCTGGGTTTGAGGTAGTTACCTACAGAAATGTGACCTACAGAGACGTGTCAGGT